TTACATGAGGGGGAAATAAGGTAATATATATATTTATATACTTAATGCCAGCCTAACTGAAAGCTCAAGGCACATTTCTTTGAGCTGAGGAGGAAATGCTGAGTCAGATGGAGTCCCTAAAGAAACAAATGAATGAATCAATTCCCTTCTGGTTGATGTGCCATCAACCCAGAGATGGGTGGCGAGCCTCTATCCCAAAGTGCCCTCTCTCAGAGTAAGAGGCCGGGTGGACAGCATTCCACTCATGCTCTCAGCTTGGGATTCTCAGACCTGCTTAGTCACAAAGGTGATTTTTATCTAAATGACAAATCCACAAGATGCTGTAACTACTGAGTCTGGGCAACCATAGCCTTCATTTTCTGTCTTAAATTAAGATAGGAAATCTATCTTTCACCCCAAGATACACAATAAAACAGAAAAATGCTGACTTAACAGCATTAAGTTACTAAGTGCAGTCAAACAGCCTGCACCAAGGCAGTAGCCTTGACCTCTCCATGATGTTCCCATGCACCCATGTTTTTATTAGGTCTCAATAAACAATGAGGTGGGGGCAATGGAGATCTGTAACACCTGAAACAATCAAGCTCAAGGTCAAATAGAGAAGGAGCAAGTGTGGTGGTTGGACCCATGCGAGGCAGCAACATAGTAGTGAGGAAAGAGCCACTTCATAAGACTGTTATGCTGACTGGGGGGTCAGGAGACCTGGCTTCTCTCTCAGTTCTTGCACCAGTTGGCTTTAATGGATCTGGCTAAGCCATGTCTCCAGGCCTCAGTGTCATAACTCATAAGGGAGGAGAACTAGGTTAGATGATCTGTGAATTCTTCCAGCTTTAACACTCTACGGTCCCTTCCCCTTTCTTATTGTCTATATGAGCATCTCTTAGCTCCCACTGGGCAGCCATCTGCCAACACTGGGACCTTGATTACTCCAGACTGTCTGGTCATTCCTGCCCATGAAGCCTGGCTAGCGGAGAGGAGGGTAGTTCTGGGGTCCTATTCTTAAGGACATATCTACTACCCTCTAGTCAAACAGCTCACCAGAGTCCAGGCATGCTGGATCCTCAAGAGCTTGGCTACTACAACAAACCTAATCATCTGGGTTGGTTCTTTCCATTCAAGGATGTCCCCCACTCCCTTCCTATACCGATACGCACAACTAGGATCCCGGTGTTCTTTCAGAACATCAGATGCTTTCCCATGTTGCTTGGCAGAAGACTAGGGCAGCAACAGGCACTTCTTATCTGCACACTGGCATGCCTCGGGGGGGGGGTAGGGGAGAAGTGGCAAAGCAACAAAGGTCAGGAAAAAGTGCGTACACCAGCAAACTCCAGCCATGTGAGGAGGCGGTCACTTGGAGAAGATGGTGCTAATCTGAGGACAGAGCGGTCACTGAAGTCACTGAGAAGGCTAGGAGGCGCCTTTAAGATGCTACCCAGCCCTCTTTGTCTCCCTTATTTCCTTAATAAGAAATCTGAGGGCAGGTGGAGCTCTGGGGCTGGCACAAGACTGTACAGATAAGCAGTGATCAACTGCCCTAGAACGTGGGTCTTTGGTCTCAGCCCACTCTTTTTTCCACTCTACTCTGTTGACCTCAAGTCTAATTAGGTTGTTCTAATGAGGTCATCTGGATCCCCTGCAGATTCTAAGCAACATGACCCACGTGTCACTTAGGAACAAGCAGGCCCAAAAGATATTTTGATAACTGCCTCCCCGATCCTATACCCCATGCATTCCTTCCCAACCTGACATGGTCCACTTATTCTTTCCCCACTCCTTGCCACAAAATCTTGGGGAGTTCAGAGGTCAGTGAGAAGGGAGAGGTGAGTCTTCCTATCCCCACAGAACCCTAAACATCTAAGGTAAACCCACAACTATCCTCCTTCCTTGGACCAGAGGAGATGACAGGGGAAGAGTGCAGGAGGAGACCCAATACACCGCTGCAAGCCTGACCTGGTTCCACCAAGAGTCCTCGGTGCAGGCAATTAGGTGGGTCATCGGAAGGTTTCTGACAACAAACAACAGGCCCCGCCTCTGCCAGGGACCTTTCAGAGATCGGTGTTTGACAGAGCATCTCATCATCAGGAAAAAGAAGCTCTGAGTAAAAGACTCAAGGAATTAATTATTCAGTGTGCATGACCCAGTTCCTGGAGGTGAGGCTGGGTGAGAAGAGAATGCACTGGCTCCTTATCGTAGCAAGACATTCAAATACTTCACAGAGTAGCGTTCCTTTAGCTGCCAAACAGCCAACCATTTATGGTTAAGAGTGGTCCCCCCAAAAAATGAATTAATTAAAAGAAGAAGAAAACAGAAAGAAATAGCCAAAGTTCACTCACTCAACAAATATTTATTGAGCGCCTCTAAGTCCCAGGTCCTCTGGGGATTTACATATGGTTGGAGTTTAGTAGAGTAGAAAGATCATGGGATTTATCAACAGGAGGCCTGGATGTGTCCCAGCTCGGCGCTTGGGCAGCTATATTTGCCTGTGCAGGTCAAATTTCTCACCTGTGAAATGGGAGCAAATCAACCTGCCTTATGAAGATGACATGACCTTTACAAAATCTTAGATGCAGTGTAAATCTAAGGTGTAAACAGTAAAGATATAACACTTTCCCTTCCCTAGAGAAGTTTATACCCTGGTCATATTTTGGATCATGATCCAAGGTACCTATTTGGCAAACATCACATTCTCTGTAATTTGGCTGAATTGGAGGTTTTACCCTGCCAGTGGGGCAGAGCCTGCCGTTGTACCAGTCTCCTAGTCTGTGTGCCCAGGAAGTTGCAAGAAGGGACAGAATATAAAGGGCAAGAAGGCCAGCACACCTGGCCCCATCTCAAGCTTTGACTGACTGAAGACCCAGGAGGGGGAAAAAAACAACTAAAATGTCAATCCCAAAGAAAACAAAACAAGCATTCATTCGAGTACAAGAGGAAAGAGCCAGTCATAAATGCACGTTTCAGGCAAGGATGAGATTTGCTGTCCAGTGCCCAAGCCTCCTGTGTGGATGACTCCAGGAAGTGAGGGAGATTCTCAGGCCAGAGCAGACTAATCAGGATCTCTTTGCCCACAATCAGAACAATTGGAGCAGCTTCAGTTGCTTCCCCTTGATCCAATCAACCCCTTCATCCTGCTGTCCATGAATCTCAACATGGACTCCTCACCCCAGTGAGTCTTTGGAGCCCACCAGGCCAGGCTCTAAATACCAGACCTACCTGCCTGCTGTTCCTCCACCTGGGCTTCCATCCAGCTCCAGCCTCTTGGCTTAGGGCCTGATGCTCCCCCTCACCATCCACTCTCTTCCTGCTTCCCTCTGCCCCCACCAGCCCCTGCAGCTCACACCTTCAGGCAAGCTCCTGGAGGCAGGCCCAGGTTTCCTCAGCTTTACCTTGCCTCTAACTTGGAACATTCTGTAAATTCTTCACGCTCCTGTAAATGCAGATTGATGTCCCAAATGTTCTCTGACGGCTGTATGCAGAAGGGAAGCAGTGGGAGCATGGAAACAATGCCAGACTGGAAAGCCAGGGCCTGTGTTCCAGTTCTCCACTTGGCAACCTTGAGAAAGTATCTTCAGTTCAGGTCTCAGTTTCCCTGTCTGGTAATGAGGGCCTTGCTCACTAAATAATCTCTCCAGTTCTCTCTAATTATAAAATCTGGCATTATAGAAACCAGACCAGACTGGGTCCCAGGAGACATGGGTCCTGATCCTGACTAGCCTCCAGCCTGGGGCAAGTTGGTCGACAGCTATAAAATCAATGGGGATGTCCTGCCTACCCCTCCCAAGGAGCACCCAGCTCCCATGACACCCTACTCCCTCCCCTCCCCCAATCCTCACCTACCCCTATCTGCCCCTGCCATGAGGCACTGTGATATAGGTTCATGCGTTATATACTCCTGATGAAACTTCAGGGTTTGAACTCCTGAGTCAACAACAGCTGCTGACCCCCACCTTGTACCTGGAACTGCGTCACTGGATGGCACTGCAAGGCTCAGACAGGAAGGTGGAGCACAGTTCCTGCCCTAGAAGTTCCCACAGATGGTGGCTGAGATGGACAAAGGAGCAGACTAGACCACAGCTGGTAATGTCCCTGAGGTGTGAACAGAGCGCTGTGGGTGTGCAGAGGATAAGGAGGCACCAACTTTGCCTGGGATGCTTCTCAGGGCGATCAGCATATCTGGATGTGGAGCTCTGGCCCACTAAAGCCAGGGCAGAGATGAAAGTAGAAAAGGGACTGGCAAGTAGGGCTGAGGGCCCTCAAGAGCCAACAGTGATGGCCTGGAGGAAGGTCTCTGGGGGCAGATGGGAGGGGCCAAGGAGAGCAGTGATTCTTAGGACAGTTCATGAGGGCAGCTACACAACACCAAGCCATCCTCGCCGTCTGCCTGCGGCAAGCCTGCCAGACACTCAGTCTCCGTGGACCTGCTGAATCTACAGGAAGATGTAAGCAGGGTTGCCCTTCTCAGAATGGAAATTAGGCAGTGAAGATGCTACAGACACAATGTCAAATTATGGCCAAATGGTCCACAGCAATGTGAATCACTCCCTGCAGAAGCTGCCTGGCCAGATCCCTGGTTTGGCACAGATCTGGATGGCAGGAGACAGAAACATCAGCAGAGCTGGGGCCAGAGTCAGGACAGCTGAGCTGCGGGTCTGGCTTAAGGGAAGAGGGAACAGAGCTCCCACCTGCCCACCCAAACGTCCCAAAGCTACACAGGCCTTTCATGTCCCCAACCACCTTTCAGTTTTGACCCCTGTCTCCCTCCCATGCTGGGAGGGCTGTGCCACCTTGGAGCTTGTAGACAAAAACAGAGGGCTGAAGGAGGGCCACGATGACCACCTGCCATTATTTCTTAAAATGGGGTTCTATTCATCTGAGCTTGAAGAAGATGCTAGCATGTCTACACTTGACAAAGCCTGAAGCCAGCACCCCCATCCCTATCCCCACCCCCACCCCCACCCCCGAGTGACCCAGTGGGAGAAAAGTGATCCACCGCTGTGACTTACTCACTTGATTTTTAGGCATCACAATGACCACAGTCACCTCCTTCCAGGACGAGCCACGAACGGGTCGCCATGTTCCTTTAAAAACAAGAGCCGGAAATCAATGTCAGTTACCTTATCTTACATTCCAGCCTCACATCTCCCCCCAGCCCACAAGTCCCCCTGGCTCGTGCACTTTGCCCTGCAGTGCCTGTGCACTTCACCCGACAAGAGGAAAGGGACGGAGTATTTCCCTGCATCATCCAAGTTTCATATATGAAGAAAGAAAGAGTGTAGTGGTTACACACATTCTGTTGCCTGCCACAGCCTGGGCACCCTGAGAGCTGATCACGTCTCTACACGAAGGTTGCCAAGAAAGTAAGATGGGTCTGGAGAAGAATATTTTATTAGTTGCTTTAGTAAAAACAGGCAATGCCAACATTTCTAAGCTTAAGACATGATGAAAGTAAATCAAGTTGGTAGAAAATTTGGTAAGTAACCAATAGAAAAGCTGTCAGATATCCTAAGGAGAGAAGGTCAAAAATGCTAAGTACACTAAGAAGTTATAAAAATGGACCATCTGGTCATGGCTGAGCTTCCTAAATAAATTATTGCTTTGGCCTCCAATAACCATCCAAATGATCTGATTACATCTACCATCTTGGGCAGAAAATGCCCATTTTCCACCTGTTTGGAAAATGGAGCTAGAGTCACAAAACACTTGTAAGGATTTACTTTACATTTAAAAAAATCTTTCAAATGTCCAAGAGGTAACCTCAAGAGGACAAAAACTAACACAGATGTGAAATTTGAGATCTACAAGAGGCCATGCCATAAGCCTTGAACGTACACACACATTGCTCAACAGGGCTGAGGCCTACCTGCCCACATAAACTTACTCACGTGTTCTCTCCAGCACACAACGATCTGCCTTCAGAGCTGGGGGATGGGGCTCCCTGTTCAGAATTCTCAGACAATTCATGGGAGAGAAGCTATTGTTTGCTGAGCCAGGCCATGCCTGGAACAAGCACTGTTAGAAGCTAGACATGCTATGTCTCATTGCCTCCTCACAGACAGGAAGGCAGAAGGAAAGCAGAAGGCCCATACCAAGGCCCCAGCCAGGCAGGATTTACATCCTACCACACTGGGTGAGAGTTACCTCAGCACAGCAGCAATGGGCCTGCACAGCCTGCAAGCAGCCTGGCAAGATCTGAGGGCAGCCACCAGGGCAGAAGCTGCCATCATCCTCGTCGTCGTCATCATCATTATTATCAAGCCACACCCCTCTGGCCCATGGCAGCTGACAAACAGGCTGGCCCGCTTAGGTCACATTCTATCAGCCTGAGTTTTAGGCTCTGTGTTGCTGCCTTGTGCCAGAAGTCAGAGAAGCTGAAACCTCCAATTCTCTGGCCCCTGCTTCTCAAAAGAAGCTTCTGGATGTAGTGCCTGAAGAAGCTGGACGTTGTGGTGCAGGTCTCTAGGCCTCCCCAGGTTCTCTGGATCTCAGATTGAAAGCCCCTTACCTTCCCTGAGACACTGCTGAGTCTAGCAGCAGGAAAACAGGGGCAACAGGTTCTCAGGTTTGGTATGGGTGGTCTTCATGGCAGGTGGAGGTGGGTGTTTCTGGACCAGACTACAAAGGCCAACAATTAGTCTGATTCCCACACAAGCCTGAGCACACTGTGATCCACCACTCTGAGGTCAACTTGTACCCTCAGTCAGCCCAACAGCCAAACACACTTCAAGTTCCCTTTAACTCCACTAAACTAGGTTTTCAAGCCCTTGAAAGGCCTCAAGTTCCTTATCTGTAAAATGAGGATCTTGACCTAATTGGTGATTTCTTCACCAAGGGCCTTCTACTTGCCCTCTTACATGGGCCCTGTCTTTCAGGCACACCTATAAACTAGCCTGCAGTTAAAGGATGAAAGGAAATTAACCCTCTTGTCGGCACTGCAGTGAGTGGTTAGCATGCAGTATCAGAAAATCCTCCTAGCAACCCCATGAGGCAAATAGTGCAGTCTGCCACAGAGAGGGAAACTGAGGCATGGCACAGCAGGGACCTCACCTGGAGACTCAGTCAGCAATGACCACAGCAAGGTGGGACTTGTGGTCAAGCTGCCTGAGTCCATGACCATGCTGGCTCCCAACACAATGTTTTCCTTTTTTAACCAATCAGAACGAAGACACGATGTCTCCTCTAGGACTTGCCATCCTGCCAGCCCCACACAAAGAAGCATGACCTCTCCTGGCTCCCATAGACCTGACTTGGGAGGTTCAGGAAAAGTTCCTAGTGAGCATCAGTGATCTAATGGAGCCAAGGGACACGAGAGGGGGACCTCCCTCTCTGCCACCTGAAAGGCTAGCTCCATAGAGGCAGGGTCTTCACTGAGGGACCCCTAGCACTTGGAAGCAGCCCTGTCACCCACTAGGCACTCTGTCAGTATTTTCTGAATGGAGGACTGAAGAGCATAGACGCACTGGAGGCTGTTCAAATACCCTGAGGTGCAAGTTAGTGTGAGACAACCCAAGATCAGCACAGAAACACTAAGCCAGCCCCAGCTGTGTGTGCCAAGCAGAGGTATCCACGCCTACCCCACCTTCCCGCCTCCTCTCTCTGGCACCCCCCAGACACAGGATGAAGGCTCAAAGCTGAAGCCGATCTCTCTGGAGTAAGTGTCTGAATGCCAAAGCCACCAGCAGAATGGTCAGGATGCCAGGTCCTGGGATCAGGCAAATCTTGGTTCCTATCTCAGCTCCATTACTTTAAATTAGTCTGGCAGTCTAGGCAAGTCACAGAATCTCCCAGATCCTCAGTTTTTTCTCAAAAAATGGGGACAATGTGAGTACCTCCTCCACAGGGCTGTTTTGCAGATAAAATGATATAGCACTTTGAAGGACTCAGAGCCCAGTGTGGAGTGCAGACTAAGTACCTGGAGACAACATCTGCTGCTATCCTCTGCAGGTGACTAATAACACATCTGGAATCCTCTGCTTGGGTTCCATGCCAGCTCTCCCACTAGCTAGCTATGTGACCTTGGGCAGCGAGCTCAACCTCACAGTATATGCTTCTTCATATGTAAAATGGGATTGACTGTGAAGATTGAAAGAGTTGTAGGTAAAGAACTCTTCATAGGTAAAGAACTGATGAGAATGCCTGGCACAAAATAAGCACTCAATAAAATGAGTGCAAATTGTTCTAATTATTAATATTACTAGCATACTTTTCTCTTTATTCCTATAACAGATTCTACCCTGTCTCCCACAACCCGTTGCAAAGGGCATGGGCTCAAGATAGCTTGATCAGAGTATTTTTCCTCCATGGCCACACTCTTATCTATAAAGAGTGTGCACATGCTCTCATCAGGGTTAAGTTTCATTTGAAAAATCCCAGGGAAGACCTAGTCCTCAGGTGGAGACCTGTGTGGAATCATCTGGAAGCTGCCAGAGACATCAGCCACTGAGCAAGGGATGCTAGTCTGGAGTTGTTAAAGGTCACCCACTCTCCTGGAGCTGGATTCTGCAGCACTATCTTTGAGTCTTTTAGCCCTCCCTAGAACCTTCCAAGGCATCCCATTTTGCTTAAGCTCATTCCAGTTGGGTTCGTGCCACTGGAAACCAAGTGTCCTACGAGCAACAGCATTCAACAATCAGCTGCTTTATCATCACTAAATCCTGCCCAGGTAGAAAAGCTGGCTGCGCACTCTCAGTGAGACCTGGGCAGTCAGGGAAAAGCAAACATGTGCACAAGCCATCTCTACAAACAGAAGTGAGAGGAGGCTGTGGCAAGCCCCTGGCCCTAGGACCTTCCTGGGAAAGGAAGATGCTGGAATCAGAGTGAACAGCCCAGTCCGGCAGTCTCTGGCTGGGAACCCAGGACTTGGGAACTCCTTTATGTGAGCATTAGTGAAGAGGAAGAGGAAAAAGGAGACTGACTTCAAGTGGTGCAGGAAAAATCTAGAGTGCTACTTAAAACAACCTTTTTAGAGGAGGAAGGAGAGTGGGTAACGGAAGAGAAATGACCTTATCTGGGCCCTTCAGTGTGCCCTGAGCGCTGGGTCAGACGTTCTCACAAGTATGATCACATCTAACCTTCAGCACAAACCTAGGAGCTGAATGCTCAACCAAGCCATTTTCCCATGACAAAACTGAGGCTCAGAGTCATCAATAGCTGATCCGTTGTGGTACCTCCTCCACATTGTGATGACAGAGCCCAGGTTCCTCCTTGCATGGACACACCTGTGGCAATTCACACCTGTGCTCAGTCTGCCCAAGGGAGCTGCAATGGGCCACTGCCCCCTCATCTCAATAGGCTCTGCACCCCTTATTCAGAGACAGCTTCCCAGAGGAAGAGCTGCCCAAAGGCACAGACAGGAAGGGCCGGGCAGCCTCTTGGAAACCCATAATGAATTCTTGGGCAACTTTCTTTCTCTGGACATTAGTAATCTCCAATGTGATGGCATTTATCTGTGGGATTTAACCAGGATAGGCCTGCCAGAATCCCATGGAGACTCTTTTTTTTTTTTTATTTCAAAGATTTATTTAATTATACAAGACCCGAGGTATAGGCCAGAGGTGCAGGAGGGTGAGAGGATTCACCAGAGACAGAGAGGAGAACAGAACAGGAAGACTGACTGAAATACACTGCTGAGATGAGCAGCAGGCAAGACAGGAGAGGTCTTGGGTATCTCTCCCACCGGCAGGGATCGAACCCACACTGCAGAGGCTACGGACAGCTTCACAGCGCTGAGCTCAACCTCCTGCGCCACCAGGGTGGTCCCCCATGGAGACTTTTTTGGCTGGTCTTTTTTGTTTCCTTTCAAGCACCTTTCCCAAGAAACTCTGACTTAATAAGAACAACTACAATGCCCAACAGAGTACTGTGCTAAACAATGTCTCATTTTCTCACGGGCTTCCGGGCCAGTATCCAAAGACCTCTATTCCTCTACCTTTAGGCCTTTTAATAGCAAACTCTTAATTCCCTCCAGGAAAAGCAGCTCTACCTTCAGATGTATTTTCAAGGGTTTTTAGAAATAAGGAAACAAATCTCTGACCTAGTAGCAAAAAACAAAGAATTCAAACATACTGTTCACCTCTCTGAA